AAACACCTTTTAGTAATATATTAATGGCCAATAACCTAAAATGTTTCTGTGTCATGAACTTTGTTTAATGCTCTAGACTACCTAATGCTCATAAAAATTCTGTGACTAGGGTGCATTTATTATCACCATTTTATATTTGAAATTTAAAGAAGCTTACAATTTTGTCTAAAATTTTACTGTTGATGAAAGGAAAAACTAGATCTCACACCCAATTTGGCTACATGAAAGTTTATAATCACTGTGCAATATTGGCAATATCTGTTGCCTAAATTACTGCAGGAATAAAAACAAATCATATACTTCATATTAGGAGTCTTGAGAAAACCATGGAAGTCTTCTAATTTGATTAAAAATAAAGTCATAGATCTCTGGAAGCTGAGGATTCCATGCAAATAAAGATTTATGAACTTATCTATACCTGTAAGACAAAACAATTGCCTCCTTCTATTTTTCTTTACATACATGTATTTTACTATTACTCCTGCAAGTACTTTTTGGGTACATACAGGTTTCAGGCCCTGTTCTAGACCTGTTGTTAGATAAAACCAAAGTAGATAGTTTGTATTCCTTGCCCTGTCATTATTTAAGGCTTTGAGAATATTTAGCAGAATATCATGGGACGTAACCTAGGCCTCTGAGTCCCTGAACATTTTACCGTAAGTTAGATCAATAGTGTTGCATTTTTAAGCCAACATGTAATGGTTCTAACCCCAAGTGTATAGTATCCAGTCCTTTAAAGTTTAGCAAAATGGTTGATTCCATTTATAGGGCAGGCAAGAACAGAAAATATGTCTGGCATATTTGTCATGCCAGAAAGTGTGAGAGTACTCAAAAACATGATGAGGGTCATGTCAGAAAAACATACACTGATGTGGCTCTCATTGGTCAGATTAAGAACAATCTAAGAATCAAAATAATTACAAACAGGAACAAATTATAAACAATTTTTAAAAGTTGAAAAATCCATGAGTTTAAGTAATAAAAATAAACAATAAGTAGGAAAATGTGAGGTTATTATCCATGGTAGAATATCAAGTGCTAACTGGAAAAATAGAATGATAACTGAAGCTAGAAAAAAAATCATCAGTTTGATCATCAGAGTAAAGATTGATTCACAAAAGAATCATCAGTAATGTCAAATCTAAAGGGAGGGTTGACAAGTGCTCAATATTTGTATGTGGATGGATATCGTGTGCCTTTAGATATGATTCCCTGAGAAGGATATATCTATACTTAGTAACAAAAAGGCATAACTAAAATATAGTCATGAGGAAGTATGAAACAACACCCAAATGAGGAACTTTCTATGAACAAATAGAGTACAGATGTTACTGAAAAATGTCTGTGTTCCGTAATGAAAAAGACTGAGCAATCGGTCCCTGAATTAAAGGAGTCTAAAGTGTTGTGGTAACTAAATAGAATTCAGGGTCCTGGATTGGATTCTGCACTAGAAGAAAAAGTATTGCTACAAAGACACTATAGTTTGAGCTGAAAAAACTGAAATATGGATGGATAATTATATTAAAAATATGATACCAATGTTAAATTTACTGAAGTTGAACACTTCTGTGGTTATATAAGAGAGGTCCCTTATTCTTCAGAAATACATGATGAACTATCGACATTAAAAAAAAAGGCCAAGAGCTATGCAACTTGCTATCAAATGATTCAATGAAAAAATAACATATACATATATATGATACACACACACGCACACGCTTTACACATGGAACAAATGATAAATAAAATGGACAAAATAATCATAGGTAGAATTGAGTTTTCTGTGTATTTTTTTCTGAAACCTTTTTAAATAAAAATTTGAAATAATGGAGCCAGCAGGTGGCATGATGGTTAAGGGCGTTGGACTCCCACAAGGCCGACTAGGGTTCAAGTCCCAGACCTAGAGGCTTGATTTGTCTCTCTCTCTCTCTATCCCTCTATTTCTCTATCTCTTGCACTCTGTCCCTCTCTGGTTGAATTAAAATAAATAAATTAAACAAATAGTTCCAGAAAATAATTTTTTAAAAATATAAATAAATACAAATTTGAAATTAATTTCCAAGTCCAGGAACTTTAGTCCCAAATTTAAATATAAAAATAAATCATTGGTATAAGCGAACTTTAAGGAAGCTCATATATCCAGAAACTTCTCAAGAAAAATGTTTTTGGTCAAAGTACATTGAGTGTTTAAATTAACAAGTAGAATGGCAGCTCCAAGGGATCCAAGGGATGTTTGTGATATGGTTGACTCCACAGTCTTGTTTTTCTGGATTAGAGAGAAGCTCCATGGAGCTATCTTCCTGTGACCAGCCATTTACTATTGATTTTTAAAAGTAAAATCAATCATGAATGAGTCAGCAAGAATTATCAAAAGTACTGGTAAAAACATCTAACCTAGCCACACATGTCAAAAAACTTAGTCATTGACTTTAGCTTTGAAAAGGTGCATGTCCATAACTGGTTTTAGCACTAAACACTGTTCACATGTTGACTGTTATTCTGAGACGTACTTTCTTTCACGGCACAGCAAAGAAAACAGGAGAATATGAAAAATACTGATGTTTCTTAGGTAAGATATGAACAGTAAACAGATCAATAAAGGTCATGACTTTTTGTTGAAATACAAATACATAAGTTGAAAAAATCTAATAGAAATAGCAGACATATTATTTAAAGCAGAAACTGCAGTGCTCTGCATCTGGATATAGGTCATTAATGAATTATAATTTGAAACTATTGAAAACATTTATAAAAATATCCACCAAGTTTAACTATTCATTGATAATAGTTAATAGTTATGCTAATTTACTCATTTGCTCAGTATGACTGGATCAGATAAACAAATCTATGCACAGTTTAACTTATAAACTTTATCTCTCTTTCCCAGCTCATGATGTTATCCATTATCATTATTCTAATAACCTCACTAACCAGCAT